TGTGGGCCGATCTCACAGGATAAACAAAGAAACAAAAAAGGAAAAAAAAGAAAAGCTTATAAGCTTAGCTAGAAATTGAGTTCCTTGACCCCGTTATTAACAACCTCTTTCCTCTGATAGACAGATTTAATAAAGAAATATATTTATTTATAATTAATGCGAGCAATGCCGCTGGGTATTTTTTTAAGTTATTGTTTCAATATTTTTATTTTACTGACACAGACACCATGACATTTAACATCGGAAATTTCTGTATTTCTTATTTGGAAAATGATTGCAATTGATAGATAATTGGTATCATGATAGTAATATAATTGTTATGATACCTTCACTAAGACACCTTTCTCAGCTAGTTCATATACAGTTTTAAATGATATATTTCTTATTGTTCTCCAATGACAGCAGTACTATTAAAACCACTTGATAAATTACAACGGATCAGGTTAAAACAGAAACCCTATATAATATTTATAACGTGGACAAATGTCCGCAATTGGACACTCATTACGTTCCTGTTTACCGAATTGTTAATTTTATAGCATGCTGGTGACATTTTAAACACCACAAATTTAATTGTATGCTTAGTGAACGTAAAAGGACTGATTTTAGGCGTATAATAATGTTCACTATCCGTAACATATGATTTTTTTGCACAGCTGCTCCATCAACATATTATAAGATCAAAAATGCGATATGTATATACCTACTTTGAATCTACGTGCATACATTACGATTCAATCTTAGTTCAGGTATATTTATAAGAGGAGCTATAAGAAAAAGAAATAAGGTATATACCTAAGTAGGTATAGATGGATAGATAGATACATAGATACTAGTAAGCTTATTATAAATACAAACAATTACATTGTTTGTTTTTATAATAAGGTTTATAATAAGTTTTTACAATAAATAAAAAGATTGAAGAAAAGATTATATTGAGAAAACGATGGCGGCCTTGTTGCTAAGAGCGATCTCTTCCAGGCAACCTTTGGATGGAGAAAAGCAATTATAAACATTTGGACCATACATGCATTTTGAGTAGGTAAATGCTTTTTTAGCTGTAATAGTGTTATCGTAGACATTAAATACAATATAATAATATATTCGTACTTACGAGATAGTCACAATATAATTCATTATGAAGACAAAAATAGTAGGTAAATAATTTTTAACATATCTCAAAGTGAAAATATTGAGTTATTTAGTTTTCTACATACATCCACGCTATACTATATGCTATGCTCATGCTATGCTCACAACTCAGGTTACATGTTTATTTCTATAATTAATAACGCAAATTTAAAAATATTTGTAGTCTAGTGTTATTTAATTCATTATAATTGTTACTTCATTTTCTCACTCTATATAATTATGTTAAAGTAAATGCTGTGAATATCTTTAATAGGCATGCGCATTAATATTGTATTGTATTTAATGTTTGTTATATGTGTTATAATGCAATATGGTGTTGGTGTTCCTTTAAATAAATAAATACTACGTACCTACTCACTATTTACTAGCAAATAATTAATATTTGAATTATTTTGCTGAGACAAAGAAACCTTTACGTCAATCAATAAAAGTTTAAAGTGAAATCAAAAACCTATCAATTCTAAAAAGAAACATCCGTTGACGCGGAATTGATACAAATATCGCCTATATTATATACACACTTTAAATATTACACCCACTTTTCAAAGTCACTTTAAAAGAGAAGAATCAGCAAGAATCTATAATACTGTATATTACAGAAAGCAATTTGTTCTTAATAAAGTAATGAATTATATTCGCCGTGGACCGAATGTTCCAAATACTTCACGATCATTTATTATTAATTTGGAAATGCCCGAACTAACTTAATAGATCTTCCTACCCAATCTAATTTCATCATCTATATTTCACTTTGTTTGTGCGTTTCGCACCCTGACATAGTTTTCAATTAGAATATAAAAAAAAGTTTCTTAATTTGTCTATATAATATGTTATTATTGTTTTTTTCTTTTATACCACTGAGGTGGCAAACAAGCATACGACGTAAGCATAAGCGTTCATAAGCGATTACTGTAGCTTATGAACGCCTGCAATACCAGGAGCATTGCGCGCGCGTTGCGCGATCCTCAGGAAATCTCTTTACTGCTTTTTGGAAGAACTCCATGTTGTAGTCTCTTGAAAAATCCTCGAAAGGGAGCTCTTTCTATAACCTGAGCGTTTGTGGGAGAAAACATCTCTGAAACCGCGCTGTACGCGACCATCTAGGCTCTAAGGTAAGGAGGTGAACTCAATGTCGACGGCGAGCTGTATCATGGTAGAAAGTGACCGTGGGCATCATATTGAACAATTCCTTTGAGCATAGTCCGTTGTACAAACGGTAGACGTAGAGCGAGGCAAAATCTTTCCTAAGACTGAAGAGTTCGATACCGCTTGTAAGTCTGGGATCATCGATAATTTTCATAGTTTGTCGTTACTCTGAGTCGAAAGGTTTAAGCTGGTATCTAGGTGCCCATAAGTGAGATTAATACTCCATGTATGGCTACATTTGTGATTATAGAGAATTAATCGTTGATCCGGCGTGCAGTTTTGCTTCGCTCTATTAAGCATATCTGCTACGTTTTTTCGATGTCAGCTTCACCTTATCTTCGTGATGACCACAAAACTGTACGTCACTCAAGTTGACATCAAGGATCGGAATGCTTTTAGATATGATAAAGGACGTGCCTTGAAATTGTAGAGTCACGGTAAATGATGGTTTTTTAGCAGTGAACGCGCAAGCTTGTGTCTTAATTGGGATAAACTGGACTAAGTTTTGTCGTCCCCAATCAGAGACCCTAGCTAACGTTCTCTTGATTGCTTGAATATGTTGCATATATGTTAATTTTGTACAGATCTCGATAATTCCTTTAACTATCTATAGGGGTTTTCCTTTGTGTATTTCATACTTATTTTACTATGATTAAAGTGACTCAAAGATTCAAACAAAACAATTATTTATATATTAACACGGCGACTGTTAGCAACACATTATTACTTAGTAAACACCTCCAGGAAAACAGTTGCTATGCTACTAATTGTGTTGAAAGCTTAGGTTTTGTTACTATTTGCATAGAAAAGCTTGCTAGCTTTTATAAGAAAAACAATTGTAATTACTTCAAAGGTTCTTACGGTTTTAATAAATATTTACACTATAAATTAATTTTGGAGAACTATTATTTTATGTTCGTGCATTTCATTATAGCATTTTCGTATGGGGCATGGATTACCAATATGAATATAATGGTCCAATTATTAATATAGCTTAAACCCAATAATCTAGGATTCGGAATATTATATTATGAACGATACTATGCTAAATTTAGCTCCGTATTTTGAATTTTTGTAGTACAATTGTGTGATCTAATTTTTTTTTTTGGAATTTAAAAATTAAATATAATTAGTCTGATAATATGATATGAATTTAATGACTATATGAATAACTAGCGACCCGTCCCGGCTTCTCACGGGTGCACATTACATCACATCACATTATAAACCTCTAAATTTATCAATGTTTCTCTACTATATTATGCATGTATTGTACATATAAATTACCGTGTGATTCCGGCATATAATAGACCACCCCTTCCATTCCCACGGCAATGGAAGGGGTGGTCTATTCTATGCCGGTGTCGTAAGAATCGACTAAGCTTAGGGGGCGAGGGATGAGCAACAGCGTCCCTCTTAAAACACCTCTAAAACCCTGACTGTGGTTGCCAATCAGCCTGCCAAGCATGGCAACTATTGTCTAAACCCCCAAGGCTTATGTTCAGCAGTGGTCACTTAAAGGCTGATATGATGATGATGATACATATAAACCTACCTCTTAAATCATTCTGTCTTGAAAAAAAAAACCGTATCAAAATCCGTTGCGTAGTATTAAAGATCCAAGCATACTTAGGGGCAGACAGACGGTAAGCGACTTTATTTTAAACTATGTAGTAATAGTAATAGTCACATATAGTTGGATAAACATAGCAAATTTATAAAGGTTTTTATGTTTTACTACAAAACTCTAAAAAATAGGAATTGATTGACTGACAGACAATTATTGTACGACTTACACTACTAAATCTGATTTGAAATTTCACTTAGATTGGTATTGTAACATAGATATCTACAAAGAAAGTGTTTTTAGAAATTCCCATTGGGAAAGAAGATAACAATGCTCAGTACTGACGAATTCGCAGAGCTTCCGACCAGATAGTAAGTATATAGAGATCGTATAGTCGTATAATCTGGGTATAGAAACATTTTACACGTGTTGCTGTGAACTCAAGTACTATATTACAATGGACCTTTCAAAGTCTAATGACCCGCAAAATAAAAATGTCTGTTGACAAGATCAACAGACATTTTTGTTCGTACACGATTTAATGATAATCCAAGAACTACTTTATAAGGTAAATTATTTCTCTATAATTTATTAAATTACTATTTTCTTACAATGACTATTTTCTTAATTATTTTATGTTCTATATATATGATCTAAAATGTAATTGTTTCTATTTTCTGTTTAATGGAGTAACACGTGCATAAACTACTATCAAGACTCAACGGGATTACATATGCCCCAGTATTACATTTTTTTTAGCAAATCACTCATAGTCAATCACAGTTCACAGATCTCTTTGCAAAATTCATAGAAAGAATTCAGGTCTAAACCTTATACATCATAATTCTGCACGTTTATAACCCTTCTCTTACCATTATGCCCTTTTCAAAGATCTTAGAAGTAGGTATAACACTAATATTTACTTATTTATTTTAATTTTAGCACGCATTAAAATATGTCTACAAGGCGGATGATCATGTCTATTCAAAGTAAACAAAGGGAGTATAAAGAGTCAATATATGTACTTTTATCTAAAATTTTATTTGCATATATCAACTAAAAATAATATAATGTGAATGAAATTACATCGTATAATGTATATATAAATATATTTTAGTTAAATAGGTAGCCAAAATTATTTCATTTGATTCATTACAGCAAACGCTTTGTATGTCCAGTTCATAATCTGCAAAAACAGGATAATATGTTATTATACGTAATAACTTTGTATTTGTAAATACACTCTTTGTCCACAGTAACCCATTTACCAAAATTATTTTTGCTCCTATTAGCAGTTATTTAATATTATTTTTTATTTGTTTGCTTGTTTCCACTTGACATTTTAAAAGCTCTACCAATCATTTTGAAATTTGGTGTACACGTAGTATTTGAGATGGAGAAGACAAAGTCATGGATATGAACAAGTGATGTCTAAATGTCGACTATATGAATCCTGGTATTCAAAATATTTATACGTTGTTTCATTGAGTTACAGACAAACATCTTTACAAACTTACACAAACTTGTATATTGTAGGTGTAAAGTCAATATAATGCTATTTAGTAAAAATTTTAACCCCATTTTAGATACTTTTTGTTTAATGTCAATAAAATTGTTTTTATATTTTTCGTGACACGGTATCCTCAAAGCGATACAAATCTACTACATATTGTAACATCTAAAAATGATCGTAAGTAATACTAAATATGATAATGTGTTAAGATATACGTTATATAACACAAGTATCAAGTTCAGTAAAGTTATGGATAGTTAGCAGAGATTAAACCTTAGTAGTATACTAAGTTAAATCGGCCCGGCTGGCGAATCAAGTTTAGCTTAGGTCAAAGAGGGCACACCTGATTCTCAAGAGGTATGGAGGTTGAATTATTTATTAATGATATGCGTCTCCAGACATCAAATATACTATGTAAATAAAGTGAATTTTAAGATGTTTGCCTTATATTTTGTAAGATTATTTTAAACAATGTAAATGTTTATCGAGGATTTCTGGAGCATACTTTTATGATAAAATAAAATTATGAGATTTAGTTTTCTTTTATTAAGAATCATTTTTAGATAAATCTAAAATGTTAATTTTAATAAATTTGGATTATCATTATTTTTTAACAAATACTGTCTATATAAATATAATATAAATTATTAATTATTTAGGACTAAGGTTATAAATAATTATAACATTAAAAAAGGATTGAATTCATAACATATCGTCAGAAGTAGTCAATAATAAGTAAAATAATTATAAACAGTAATATAGAAACGGATCTAGTATCGTGCCTTGAGGTACACCAACTTTCAAATCAGAGCTTTATGTCATTTACATAAACTGTGTTCATTCTATTTTTAAATGATATAATACAGTATAAGGATGTACGGGTCTTCATACAGTAGTTTCTTGCCTGTTGTCATGTTCCTTACATCGCAAAGATTGTCACATTTATTTTTCACTGGCCTCAAAATGAGGAGATCCTCAATTTGAGTACTCATGTTCAATATAAATATCGTTACTGAATGATTTTGTGTTGCGAATTTAAGTACTTTTGAATTCTATAATTTCTCGATCTTCGATTAAGAAAAATGTCCAAAATAAAATAACATAGTTAAATAATAAAATTCGACCAACATTTTACAATTCAAAAGTATAAATGCATGGCACCTTTAGCAGGTACCGAACGAATGTTCGAAAAATTTACTCAACGTAGGTCTATTCATGAAACTACTGCATGAAAAGTATTTTTTATACTGTAATATTATAATACCTATATATCAAAAATAGACACATACCGTGGTGAAAGTCGCTATTGAAACTGGTGCAAGTTTCGCCGCCATCAATGTGACGGGTTGTTGTGCGATACATATAAATATTAATACATTTTTCTTCAAAGCTGTCGATATCTTTAACCAAGGGCTACTAAATATCACCCTTGAAACATGGAGACACTGAAAATTTAAATATTTTAATGGTACCTGCTTAAATTGTCATCTCTAGTCGCCTTAAATCTTTCAACCAATCGTTAAGAATTTTGTCATACACATAAAATATAAATAGTATTTTCCGTATGGTCACGGCATAGAATGGACTACTCCTTACTTTCTCGTAAGTTTCGTAAGAGACGGCTAAAGAGACTTAATGACCGAAAGATGGGCTGCGGTGTCCCTCATAAAATATCACCAAAGTTTAACTGTGGTTGCCAACACGCTTGCCAAGCATGGCAACTACTCGCAAAATCTTTCTTATGGGGGAGGCTTACATTTAGTAGTGGACAGTCAATGGATAATATGATGATGATAATAGTATTTGGTATTTATACATATGTACAAACCAGTATAAAATGGTTGTCAAATTTTTAGTAAGAAGATTGTACAGTTATTGTGAGTAACATTTTAGGCTAACATAAAAACGTTTGTTTATAGAAATGAAAATTGCTCATAAACATCATTATCTTAACATTTACTTAAGCGTATATTACATAGATAATAAGATTGTTTTAATAACATAGAATGTAAATGAAAATCTTTTTTTGGATATATTCATAAATTATCTTAAAAACATTGCCTTTCTAATGCTAGTCTGTGATATTAAATTTTATTATTAAATGGTACCTTTATCGTAATTTCGTTCCCGAAATAGCAATCTAAAAAGAGATTAAATATAAAAATAGACAAATAGGTTAATACCCATATTACTTCAGTTATATTTTTATGCGGAGATTCAATCTGAAAACAAAAGTAACCGATCAATAACTATACATTATTAATAGATCTAAGAATAGAGTAACAATATTTTATGGAACTTTTTATAATAATACCAACGTATTTATTCGAGAGAGACATTTGTCTATGTCTTCATTGAATGAAATAATTTCGGAGAAATAAATAACAGGTATTATATGTTCGCTACAACAGCAATAATTGACAAATACGCCGGATTACTACGAGTACATACAGCCTTTAGCATACTTTTACTCTGTTATCATTACAACCAAAAAGTTCGAATTGATCAAGATCATTGTCATAAACATTAACACAAGCAAATACTTTAAACATTACTCATTTTTCCATTGAGATCTTAAACTATGATTTTGCTACTTACTGAAAATATTTGAACAGCCGTGTTACAAATAATAATAGCACTTAGAAATAGCGTAGATGTTAATTGAACGCCAAGTGCCGCTTGTATTAACTTTATGTACCTGAAATATAAGAATTACTTGTTATAATTAAGTAAAAAAAATTGCCTATTTTTTTAATGTTCAATAAAGTGTTATAAACAAAATAACAAACCGAAAATAATAATTAATAAAATACATAGAAAATAAATACGGATACAATTATTTAACGTCTTTTCCTTTAGGAACAAGTTTGGACGGTCATTCTTATCCTTATATCAACACTCATTTAAGGTTCCGCTGTTGGGTATGGGGTCTTCAGATAAGAAAGAGGGATATTAGTGTAACAAAATGACTTGGGTTTTATTTTAGTTTTTCCTTCTGGCTGTGTTGTATTGTTTTTCAATTACTGTTATATTATTATTCTCTCACAACACTGAAGATAGAGACATCAGTAAATGTTACGTCATCCTGTTTATTAGGTATATACACTTTAGTACACAAGGAAGTACTATTATCGATAGTTAAAGATTACTAATTATTAATTAATTTATTTATTATTAATAGACAATTACTTTTGATCAATCAAACATCGAACTAAACAATTTTACTAAAACTGCCGCTGCCATTAGAGTTGACAAAGTATTATTAATTCCTCCAAATGATTGAAAACGAGAGAAACGAAATGTAAATAAATCAAAGATTTTTGTTCTTCGAAATAAACCATTAAAAATGTCTTAAATGACAAAATTGTTTAGATAAATATTATAAAAATTGTGAAATTATATCATTAGTTAACAATACCACTGGCTTAGGTGTGAAAGTTATTTAAAATCGTCACAAATATTGTAATTATCATAATAAAAATAAAAAAATAATTATTTAGGTTATAATTAATTTTAAAAAATACATTAAACATATATACATATATATACAGATTACAATAATAATATACAAATTAAATTGCGTACGGTAAAAGGTTTTCCTCTCAAAAACGGTTTTACATAAAATTCACATTTTATATTTCTTTTGAATAATATTTCCGTTCGCAGAAATCACTTTTAATATAATTATGGCGATTGATCAGGCGAAGTGCTTTCTGAAAATTTGATTTTCAGAGAATATTAAAGGCAATGCTGTTTTCAGTTTATTGCGATAAAATTTTAATATCAAGTTAAGCGTGAACCTCGTCATCCGGCCGCATTGACTAATTTTTTCGTTAAATCTAACTATGGTAGCCAAAATTCTTTTTATTTATAACCTTATTTTTTAACTATTGCTTATTATCATATAATGAACAAAGTAAAAAAAACAGATGAATCTCCTAACTTACTCAGTTTCTTTAAGCTAATAAAATGATAAAATGAAATTTACTTTCCAATACATACTTTCTATTTTAGATATAAATGATGTAAATAAAAAATATTTTTTTTAATAAAAAGTAATGAATACCTACTTATACATACCTCAAAATTGCGAAATAATATAGTATAAAACTATTGAGTACACTTTTGTAAGCTTCATCATCGTTAAAGCCTCTCAATTCTTTTGTTACTTTTACAATCTCTTCCATATGTTCAAATTTCGTAATTATAACATCCAATTGATTAACTGAAAATTAATGGATGAAAAATATTTTGTACATAAAAGAACAGTATATTAAAAATATATAAAGTATTGAAAATATTTAAATTGAAAAAGCAAAATAAATTGGAAGTAGATTTTACTTCGCAATAAGAACGTTTTTGTTCAACAAAATATATATATATATATATATATATATATATATATATATATATATATATATATATATATATATATATATATATATATATATATATATATATATATGATTTATAAATATATCTGTTCAGATATTTTTCTTTATCACTTTTATTATTATCATATTTAATCATCACCCTTTAACTGTCCACAGCTGAACATAAGCCTGCCACTTGAGGGGTTTGACCACTATTGCCACGCTTGGCAGGCAGATTGGTAACCGCAGTCAGGCTTTAGAGATGTTTTAAGAGGGATGCTGCTACCCATCCCTCGTCCTCCTTTAGTCTGATCTTATAACACCCACGTTATAGGAAGGGAGGGGGGGGGGCTATTCTGTGCTAGCTAACTTGTCACTTTACTCAACACTAATCCAAATCCTCTGCATACTTGTACAATCAATATATCCATCATAAGGATGATAGGGATTTACAAACAGTAAGCATTCTGTGTGAATAAATGGTACTCTCGAATACTTACTTGCACATATCATAAAAGCCCACGGTAAAGTTTGAAGGCATATATAAGTGCTCACCATCATTGGTTTGTACAGAATCTGAAATTATATATAAATATATTTAAACTAATTTTATTTATAAAAAGAAAATGATTTATTTTTGTAATTATTTAAAAAAAAATATTTACAATTTTAAATTTTACCTATAGAAAGCTTACATTACTAGCGAGTCACGTAGACTATATTTTGGTAAAAAAAAAATACAGATCCTTATATTATCTACTCGTGTTAAACCAGACGACATTTTAATAAAAAAATAATATTAGATCAGATAAATAATTAAAATACAAGTATCCACGTTACATACAATTAAAAAAAGGAAATTTGTTTTACCACTGCTGATAAACACGATAAAATAAAATGTAGACTTAAGCAAATAATACCAAGTATAAACATTATTGATTTTAAAAATAATTATTAAAATCGTTTCACAAATATCGAAGATATCCCGTATTATACACATTGTAAAAAAGAGGCGAATTGACGACATTCTTCTTTATGTAATCGCTTAAAGTAAAATATGGCAGATATCTAAGTATAAAATACCCATTGCTCTCAAGCAAACTACAACACATTTTCCTTTTCACTATTTGGCTTTGATCAGATCCTCTTTCTGATCTCCATTAATGATAAGAGCAATCTTATTGTCCGTACAAAGAAAGTTTCACTATCCATCTCTAAGAAAACTTGCCTTATTTTATGGTATCCCAACACGATCCCCTAGGATGCTAACTTTATTCTCGACGGCACAGAAACTTTATAATTTTCGTGTACTTTCTCACCGTACGTATTATTTACTTAAGTTCGCTGGATTAACTTGATTAAAATGCAGATAATACTAATGTTAATTGTACACGAGATGAGAAAACTTGAACAAGTGTTTGTAATCCAGATTTATAACAATTAATTGACTGATTGCAATAATTCTTTTCTTTTCATTTATATTATTTTTTGCTTAATTGTATACATGTATTTTACGTAGAATGAGCTAATTTTTCCTTTCCCATGGGTATTGTTAGAGGCGATTAAGGGAACGTAATGGACGAGGGATCGGCAACAGCGTCCCACATAAAAAAATCACCAAAACCTAACTGCGGTTGCCAACCTGCCTGCTCAGTGTGGCAACTACTGTGCAAAACCTCCTAATAAAGGGAGGCCAATGTCCAGCAGTAGACAGTTAACGGTCGTTACCATTGTGATGATACTATGCAAATGTAAAAAAAGGAAATTGGATTTTTTTCCGCACTAAGCCTCCCATTTAGGCCGTTGTGCGTATCACAATATGTCTGTATATATCTACGTATGTCTGTAACGGGATTTTTTATGAACTTATTATATTTGTCATTTCCGACAACTATTCCAACTTCATCCGGTTGTCCTCTTTAGAATGAGTAAGGTTTTTATGTTGCCGCGTCTCTCGCATCGCATCTTCTGAGTCAGCTGCATCTAACTTCCCATAACCTTTGACGTCTATTTGATGCGGTTTTGATTTAATCACACTTCAATTACTTCAAAAGTCATCTCGCGGATTTGACATTGTTACTTTATCTAGTGGAGACTTACCTTTATACACCTGTTCAGGGTTAACACACTAGAACGATCATAGTTAAAAAAATTTTTCTGGAATTTCGCTGCTTTCTCGCTGTCCCTCGTTGTCAAAGTTGTTGTCTAGTTGCTCCGTACAGTTTAATATAGTTTTTGCACCCCTCACCCCTTTCTACCCCCCGTTGCAAGTGGTTTTATTGTTATTTCGAAATCTCAAAAAATCGCTCGTAAATTGTCTTTTTTCGTCGTTTTTTCTTCTTGAATTAGTTAGTTTTCGTCCCCTCTTGTCGTTCGTCTACCTATCACCCCCCTACCCCCGTCAACCCCCTGAATTTTGACTATTTACCTACACGTAATCGTACTATTTCTCACCAATTTTCTCCCCCCCTGTCGCTTTTAGAATTTTTCTAGTATTTTTCCCGTGCTGTGCGCTCTGTCCCGAGTGCATAGACACCACACTTGTCCCCATCGGAGCACTTTTGCGAAAAAGCATCGAACCGAGGCTACCTAAGCGCTCCAGAATTCGATAATAACATATCATAGTTAAAAATTTTTTTCTGGAATTTCGCTGTTTTCTCGCTGTCCCTCGTTGTCAAAGTTGTTGTCTAGTTGCTCCGTACAGTTTAATATAGTTTTTGCACCCCTCACCCCTTTCTACCCCCCGTTGCAAGTGGTTTTATTGTTATTTCGAAATCTCAAAAAATCGCTCGTAAATTGTCTTTTTTCGTCGTTTTTTCTTCTTGAATTAGTTAGTTTTCGTCCCCTCTTGTCGTTCGTCTACCTATCACCCCCCTACCCCCGTCAACCCCCTGAATTTTGACTATTTACCTACACGTAATCGTACTATTTCTCCCCAATTTTCTCCCCCCCTGTCGCTTTTAGAATTTTTCTAGTATTTTTCCCGTGCTGTGCGCTCCGTCCCGAGTGCATAGACACCACACTTGTCCCCATCGGAACACTTTTGCGAAAAATTTGCCCGCCCACTCACCCATTTTTCTCTACTGATAAGGTGGACATTTAATACAAAAATCTGCCATTACTTTTTTCTTCCACAAATTGATAGTACTATCCCTTAGCTATACCTACGTCATTCCTTCTCTTGATATTAAGCCTCTAGTGGTGCTAAATTGCAAAAATGCCTCTGGCGCGGTCACCGGTCAGGCGACCTGTTAACCTGCCGTCTGAGTCAGCAGAGGCTCAGAGGGCAGAAACTACAGCCATACCAACAACTTCTACTTCTACTAGCTCTTCATCGAACACGTTTTTACCGTCATGGAGGTCTATCAATGTTCATAAATCTCCCAGCAATAGCCAACAAAGCGTGACTTCACTTCAAACTATCGATGAAGCGGAAATAGCTCCGATCACACAAGTCTCACAATCTGCGTATATGCTTCCGAGAGAGGCCGATACTATGGCAGACTGCTCTGAACGATTACAGGATCTCGCTCTGGATATTGCTGGCACACTTAGGCAAGCGAAGTCTGTTACAGCAGAAATGCGGAATCGTGCTATTGAGTCTGCGCACTTGATTGCTCGGCTAGCGAACAACTCTATGGCTCGGCGACTCAAACAAGCGGAAACAGTAGCCTATGAGTGCAGACAGGAGATAGCAGCCGTACGAAGCGAACTGGGGCAAATTAAAACATTTATGGACGATTTTCGCAATACTATGCCCAGCGACAGAGTACTCCCTACAGCTCACATTACAGAAACAAATATTCCACAAACAACGTTTGATGCTATAATGGATGAAATTAGATCTCTCAGAAAAGAACTAGCCGAACGCGATGCTAAATGTGCAGCCACACACATCTGGAGAAATGATCTCAATAAAATACTCCGTGAAGAAATGGACCCACTTAAAAAGGATATCAAAATGGTCACCACTGCCGTTATGGATCTAAAGCAGAACAAGCATGATGAGGTCGTAGCTCTTATGACCGAGCAGGGCTCTGCAATTGATACTGAGATGACACTTATCGAAGTTAAGGAGCAGCTGGATCACATACGCTCCCAGGTCACGGAGAACACTGAGTTGGTCAGGAAGCAAACTGAATTAGCTAAACAAACAGTAAGCACTCCTCCATCTTTACCAGTTGTTAATCAAATGAAGCAGGATCAGACAGCGCAAGCACAAAAATCGGATGCTCGTCATCCGCGTAGTTATGCAGAAGCACTATCGAGGCCAAACTTCGCAGTTCTCCTCGAATCAGCAGACCCTCGAAAGACCAGTGACGACATTATAAATGAAGTCAAACAAAGCGTGAATGTCATCGACCTAGGAGTCGGTGTAAATCGCGTTACTAAAATTAAGAACCAGAAGGTGATAATGAGTTGTGGTTCACAAGAAGACCGGAAGACCCTACAGACGGCAATCAAGGAGAAATGCTTACAAGTTTCAGCAAGGAGCGCTAGAGACAAATTTCCACAAATAAGACTTATCGGCGTGGTTAATAGTATTACAGATGAACAGATCGAAAAAGCAGTAATTAATCAAAACCGCCAACTTCTCAACACAGCATCTGATCAAACAGTTAAAGTGCTAAGAAGGACAAAAGGCAGGACACAAGATATCAAAAATATTATTCTAGAAGTGTCTCCATCTATATGGCGAGCTGTTCACGGGCATAAGCTGCATATTGGACTCCAAGTAGTTTCTGCGATTGATCAATCTCCAGTTATCCAGTGCTATAATTGCATGGGGTACAACCACAAAGCCGCTGATTGCAAAACACAAAACAGATGCGGCTACTGTGCACTCACTCATGATACTCGAGAATGTCCAAATAGAAATTCTTTGCCGGTGTGCTATAACTGCAAGCTAGCTAAAAGAGAGAATCTTGCTCACCCATCCTATAGCCAAGAGTGCCCAGAATGGCAAAAATGGGATAGGATAGCTAGATCTGCAGTTATCTACTGCTAAAGGCAGCCACAGGGATAGGACAGATATTGCCCAATCATCACAGAGTAAAATTAGTGTAGTCCAAATAAATCTCGGTAGAGGATATGCAGCTACTCATGAATGTCTTCAGACAGCAGTCAACAAGGGGTTTTCGATTATGCTTCTTCAGGAACCATATGTCGGATCTAAAGGTTACCTAGCGATAGGTACCAGTTATCGAGTAATACAGAAACTGCCCAACGATGTTTCCCATCCTGTTCGTTCTGCTATAGTTATTCTGAACCCTAATAGCCTTGAAGTAATCGAGAGCCCCAGTTGGATGACTGAAGACATAGTCGCTATCAAAATAAAAACCGGCAGAGACACAATTACTCTCATAAGCGCTTACTTTGATAAGACCCATGACATACACGATACCTTGAACTCCTTACGTAATATAATTACAAACACAGGAGCATCTAATTTAATTTTAGCAGGTGATGTTAACGCAAGAAGTATCTGGTGGGGCTGTGACACGGAGGATACCAGGGAATCACATCTAATGGACGCTCTGTCCGAACTTGATCTGGAAGTGCTCAATGCGGGATCAACACCGACATTCACCGCTTACCGCCAGGGACAATTGTGTAACAGCATTATCGACATAACTACCTGCTCTTCCCAAATATTGAATCAAGTCACAGACTGGAGAATAAATCCCAACCTATGTACTCTATCCGACCATATCCCAATCACATTTGATATTAATAATCATCAGATTAATCTTACAGAACCTACTCCCTCTACACGAATTTATTATACTGGTGAAGTTAACTGGAATAAGTTTCGTGATACACTACAAGAAACGCTTGCAACGCGTAACATCAATCCCGATACTGTGCTGAATACCTTAGGTATAGAAGAGCTTGAAAGACTAATAATAGATTACCAGGACACAATCACCCAAGCATGTGCAAACTGTATTCCAAGGATCCAGAAACCGAAAATTAAAAATAAAAAAGCTAAGTGGTGGACAAAAGAACTTAGTGAATTAAAATCAGACCTAAAAAGGACAAAAAATAAAATTAAAAAGGCTAATTTACAAAGGAAGGAATTTATTATACAAGAATATTTACAAAAGAAGAGTATATACAAAAAAGCTATAGAAGACTCAATAACTAACAGCTGGAAGAAGTTTTGTACAGGCGAGGAAAAAGAAACAGTTTGGGAGAGATCCTACAGGATTATAAAACATAGTGGCAAAGTAACACGTGAAAATCTTCTTACAGACAACAATGGCACTACCCTTACTCCAGATAAATCCGTATCACTATTGGCAGACACATTTTTCCCTCAAGATGATCCTATAACCGATACTAGTGAGCATATTACTGTGAGACAAAAGGCAAACTTATTAACATTTAAACCACCGACTGACAGGAACCTCACTGCATTTACTCATCATGAGTTACAAACTGCATTGAAGCAAATGAAACCCAAAAAGGCACCTGGAAGGGATGGTTTTACAGCTGATATTTGTCAAAATGCTTATGAAGCAGATAAAGAGACCCTACTTGCTATATACAATCAATGTTTGAGATTGAGATACTTTCCGAGGATATGGAAGGAAGCTGTTATAAAAACCATTCCCAAACCTGGGAAAACTGACTATAGCCAACCCAAGTCTTTTCGTCCCATTGGCCTTCTTCCTCTTTTAGGAAAATTACTTGAAAAAATACTTGCAAAGCGTTTGCAATGGGAGCTCACGAACAAAGGTACACTACAACCCAATCAATACGGGTTTACTCCGCAACGCAGCACAGAAGATGCACTCTTTGACGCTCTTGAGATCATCAAGGATACATTAAAATCTAAACAAATCGCTGTAATGGTCTCCCTTGATATACAAGGTGCGTTCGACAGTGCTTGGTGGCCTGCCATTACAACGCAACTATATGAGATGGGAATTGATTCGGACATTCTTCACCTTATAGTGTCATATCTATCGGAGAGGAAAATCATGTTGAAATACTCTGGCAGTACTTTATCCAGGAGCACGGACAGAGGATGTATCCAGGGCTCGGTCTGTGGTCCCATCCTTTGGAATGTGCAACTAGACCAAGTCCTGGAGCCATCGCAGTATCGTGGTGTTCATATCCAGGCGTTTGCGGACGACATACTTCTAATAGCGCGAGGAAACACAGGTGAAGAGGTGGAAAGGAACATGAATCTTGCACTTTCACAGCTTGTACAATGGGGTAGCCGACTCAAACTTAAATTCGCTCCCCATAAGACGCAAGCGGTCCTTTTCACCAAAAAACTTAAATATTACACTCCCAAGCTCTATATGGATGGTGTCACAGTTCAGTTACAAAAAGACATTAAAGTTTTGGGCCTAACAATCGATTGCAACCTTAATTTTAATGCCCATCTCAAAAATGTTACAGCTAAGGCTTTAAATATATATAAGGCGGTTTCTAAAATGGCTAGAGCACAGTGGGGACTCAACTCTGAAGTTCTCAAGCTGATATATGGCGCGGTGGTTGAGCCTACCATTCTCTATGCTGCTAATTGCTGGGCACATGCAGCCAATAAATATCTAATGAGGCCATTCTCGATAGAGTAACGAGATTGTTTTCCATAAAAATCACAAAAGCCCATAGAACCACGTCTTTTGCATCAAGCGTAGTCCTTGCTGGTGTGCTGCCGCTCAAGCTTAAGGCGCAAGAACACGCGGAACTATTTTGTATAAAGAGAGGCCGCCAGCTACAGGAACTACCGGGGAAAAAGCTGGAATCTTTAATCTCAGTTACCACCCTACCTCATCCTGCTGTAAGACTCAATATTAAATATAATATTATAAACGACTCCAAAGATCTTAGCGAGAACATCAATGATTGGCCCCAATTGTATACGGATGGAAGTAAAATTCACGATAAGGTAGGGGGATCAGTATCAGCCTGGATAAATGGTGAAGAAAATTTTTATACTAATTTCCGCTTGGAAGATTATTGCTCAGTTTTTCAGGCTGAATTAACAGCAATACTTAAAGCACTCGAAATTATGAAAACAAAGCCACAGTATTATAAGGCGAACATTCTAAGCGATTCTATGTCGGCTTTAGACAGTGTCTCCGATCCATGCTCCTTACACCCATTATCAGTAGATATACGCAACCAAATACAGGCTCATGAGGCGAGAGGAGGGAAGGTTCTTTTACACTGGGTTAAAGCTCATATAGGCATCCCAGGTAATGAAAGAGCAGATACTCTAGCTAAAGCTGCTGCTCAGCAAAATGATACCCTACCCTCATATGATCGATTTCCCCTGTCTCTGGTTAAGCGAGAAATTAGAGAAAAATCCATCACAACATTACAAAAATTTTACTCAGAAACTAAAACCGGAAGTATTACTAAGGAATTTTTACCAGATATTAAAAAAGCACACAAAATTTTAAAAGCAGTAAGGATAGACAATACAATTACTCATCTATTAACTGGACACGGGGGAAATAGATCATATTTGCATAGATTTAAATTAATTGATTCACCAAATTGTACCTGTGATGGTGAAACTCCGCAAACTATTATGCATCTCCTTATAGAATGTACTAGATTTTCATATAAAAGATTAAATTTTGAATTTCTTACAAATACTAATATAACAAAAGAAAACTTAAAAAATATATTTGAAGACGATTCCAGCAGGTTCCAATTAATACAATTCGCTAAAATGATATTTAAAGTAATAGGGAAGGAGAATGGCACTAAATACATGGATTGACAAAATACATAACTCGGACTTTACTATAGTTAATGTACATATATATATACATATAATAATAAATACAGAAAAAAAAAATAAAAAATAAAAAATAAAAAAAAAAAAATACACAGTTAAAATTTTACAGAAATAAATACAAACAGATTAGAAAGTTGTCGCCTCAAAGATAGCGACGGAAATCACTTTATATAAAAAAAAAAAAAAAAAAAAACACACTAGAACGTTTTTCCTTATTGGTTTTCGGTTCTTTTAATATAATATGTGGTAAATTTTTCTTCATTTAATATTGTCTGTATTTATTACTGCATAAAATAATAATAATAGACAAAATCTCAATCAAAATAGGTATCCATTAAAATATATTCATATTGTATATTTGTAACTGTTTATAAATACATATAATCATATATATATATATATATACATCACGGATTTATTATGAACTGTGTGAAACATGAGACGAAAGTTTGCTATGTAGATAAACGGGATGAGTAAATCAACACCAGAATGGTAAACAACAACATTGCGCGGACTCTCAAACAAAGGGTGATTTGGTCCTTATTCAATGATAACGCCTAAAAATAGTTGAGTTTACCTGATAAGCGCAAATATAATTGAAGTATTTGTCATCATTCACATCAAACAGAAGCAGGTCCATCTTCAATGGTAATGATTGAAATCCTTCTAATGCTGGCACTACGACTACATGAACTGAAACAAAACATTTTTGCTCCACTAAAAACACAGAGTCTTCAATCGTTAACATTATGTTCTTATTTTAAAATGAATAAAACGCATATAATAAATACTTGAATTTAGAAAATAAAATTACGTATCTGTACCAACAAATTTTGCATTACGGTAAGCACATTTTATAGTTCACAAAGAAAATAAGTAGTTTTAATCAACCAAAATTAATGTAGGACCTACATCGGAGTAAATTCTGTTGTTAGCAAGAAGAATTGTCAAAGCCGGTTCAGAACTGATAAATATATTGCGCACACAAAATACAGACAACTTGACAAATTCCTTTTGGATGATATTTAAAAAAATAAACGCATTTCATTGAAATTTAAGCGAATTTCCATAATGTCTATTCGCAATACTCCTTTTCAGGAAATGGCACAGAAGCGAAAGTCAATTATCAGTCTTAAGTTAAATTATAAAACTTTTGGTTGAATAATTTACTGAGTTAGAATCATTGAATATCATCACGACACAATACTTGTCAACCTATTCATAAGATAAGAGTGCAATCAGGCTTTATTACTATTGTTTTTATTTAATCAAACAATATGTATTAAAATAATAGCAATAAAATAAAATTTTTAGTATAAATAAATAGCAATCAAATTTTGCTGAGTTCAAGACAGGTTTTATAATTAAAAAAGGCACATTACGGATGGTCCTATGATGGTTGAAATTTTTCTCTTTCTATCATCATCATCATATCATTCGTTAACTATCCACTACTGAACATAGGCCTCCTCCATAATAGTTATACGCTTGGCAGGCAGATTGGCAACCGCAGTTATATTTTGGTGATATTTTAAGAGAGACGCCGCTCTTACGACACCTACGGGAAATAAAAGGATTGTCTATCCTATACCGAGACCACACAGTAAAATTATTTCTTATAAATAAAAAATATATTATTGTTATATTACAATATTAATAATCTTTCAAAAGTACCTATACAGGTATATCGAATTAATTAGCATATTTTTAAAGGAGTATTCTACAATGAATATGACTAGAAACAATTCTCAGCTTTCCGTACTACCGCCTGTTTAATCTACCCGGAATCGGCGCAGATGTCATTTAAAAATACTTACCAAAAACATCAAAGGCGGCACCGAATAGCAAGACAACAAATAATTTTCTCGAGAGTTTTATACCTTTATCGAGAATGTTTTTGTGATTTTCGTCGTAATAGTGGAATTCATTGAACTGATCCATTAGCTGCGTGACTAAATTCCGACGCAAGTGCAAATCAAGCAGTTTCAGCGACGCCAGTATTTCCGTTGAAACTAGGTTTACTCTGAAATGTAGATCATTAGTAATTTTAAAGCAATTCACAAGATTAATTCTACTTGTATTTTAATGGATTGGTGACACAAATCGAATAAAAAGAAAATTAAAATAATATTAATGAAACTACTTCGATCGAGATAAAATTAATATGAGAACATCACGACATTATACATTTCATTTTAAGTTTACTCCGGTATTGTACGTTCTAATTAGCGAAAATATATAATATAAATATAGCGAAAATATATAATATATATGTATAATAAAAATATAAAATATCTAGGTATGTTTTTTATCTGTACAAAAAAATAACTATTCTACATATTTTATAGTGCAATAAGAATAAAATCAATAAATAAATCACCAGGTCACGTACCACGTAAAACTATTATAAAAACTGTGATGTGATTTGATGTAATAATAAATTAGTACATATCTGTGTAAACATAATAGGAAACATTTTACAATGGTAACATATTTTATTCCCATGACACAGGAGAGGGACAGAGGTACTCATGCAAACGACTTTGTAACGATTAAACGGCATTCCTAGTTCATCATTGCTTTGCCTTTGTCTAATCCCAATGGAAGAAGATAACTTAATGTGTCGACCCCAAATACTAGAGGGAGGCTTCGTACAAAATTCGTTTGCTTGGGAACCTCTGTCCCATTTGTTTCTATCGTGAAGCAGTTGTGTTTGCACGGTTGTGTTTCGGTTTGAAGGGTGGGATATGGCAGTGAATTTACAGGGTACAGAAGAATAACACCTGAATTCTCAGGAATGGCAACGCATGGGGGGTTATCATGGGTGAAACAGTACTAAACTGTTATGTACCTTAATGATAGGTAAATATCTAAGTGTTAAAACTCAACTACACCGAACCACAGATTATATAATCTAACAAAGAGCACGGAACAAGAACTAGAAGTAGTATTAATGTTAAAAGTAAAAGTAATATAAATATTTTTCGTTGCTCTAATACTAAAGGGGGGAAGAAATCGTTAGTGATGGGAAGATTAGACCCTATTGCTATCAATATACCCACCTCCACCTGGGAACCATCGTGACTAATTTATCGTTGAATTTGTCACGATGGGTTAACTGACCTGTCTTTTTATTATCATCTATCATTCCTCACTGGTGCCTCACCAGCGTATACCGTTAGCGCAGGTGTTACCATTACATTATCTTCCAATAAAAAAAATAGAGTACAAAATAATATTGTGTAATGTTCTAAGAACGTCCACTTACAGTGTAAGAATATGATCACAGAATATTCCTCTGAACAACAGAAAGCGATTAGTGTGAAAACATAAATAATCGAATATGTAAAACATGGACTTGTACATTACGTAAAGTGCAAAACGATTCTGTATTTATTGTAATAAAAGCAGCATAACCGATATTTTGTTAAAAAATAGATATTTTGATAAGCTCAAAATAATAATTAAATTTAACGTTGTTGTCAATAGCACAAAGCGCGTCTAAATCACAAAAGCATTCTATCAAACGGTTTCTATTCTAACCCTTGTGCTTTTTATCTCTAAGACTATTCTGGCTCTTTCTTCATGCTCTTTGTTTGTTTCTTGTAATTGCACCTTTACTCATATATAGTACATATTGATATTGAAATAGTTTACTATTGAAATTAGTTGGTCCGTGCAGCATATATTCTGATTATGCTTGTTATAATTAACAAAATTTCAGGAATTGATTTGTAATCATCTAACTAATTACATTGCGCTATTTGATCGTGTCTCAATATCGAGGTTGTCAGTCAATAATTTCTATTTGTGTTAATATTGAATTGATTGAGCCCAATCAATATACCTTATTAAATGTATCCAATAATTGAGTTCCTAATAATAAATCAACTCTCATTAATGTAATATTTATTAATAATGTACCTGTATTACAAATATCATATATAGAATGAATTACATATTATTAATATAAATTATAATTAACCAGCTATGCCCACGACTTCATTCGCGTAATTGCTTAAATAAATTGGTTTCAGAGGTACAAATTTGAAATTTAAGCAAATAATGCCTAGCTGAAGATATAAGTTTTATGTACTGTTTTACATACTGTTCGAGTAACAAACATTCAAGTATTTTTACATTTTGACAGGCATATATTAAGAGGCTTTCTGTGCCTTGATAAATATCAAGGGACAAGGATTTTTTATTATAAATGTAACTTGTTCTATTCATAATTATAGACTATCAGATTATAGTATTAATATCTATTATAATTACTTTACAAAAATCTACATTATTAAAATTCATCATTTCGTCATTGATTCACTCATTTATTAGCTTTAATATATAAGGATAAAAGTATACCTAAAAATCTCGAACTTGGCGTAAGATAGTATATAGTTCAAATATATAAATATTAATTTAAAAATATTTTAAAAATCTAATAAATATATCAAATAAAATTCTATAAAAAAATTGAAGACAAATAAAATGCACGTGCATTATTGGTGTACACTGAAAGATAATTAATTTTGGTATTCAAAACCTTTAGAGAATTCTTTAATTATAATGATCTAATGACATTCTAAGCTTGATCGAAAGGAAAATGAAAATGAATATAAAGAGCTTTGTATTAAGCTTATTATAAAGTAATTGATATTTAAGAAGATTATGGAATCGATTTTAACAGATTAGACGAAATTATTCACACTTAAATGATAGAATGTTCATTTATTGTTTTATATATTTTTAAATTTTATTTGCTGTAGATTATCGAATTTATGTCTTGAAAAGTACTTGGAATGTAAATATATTGTAGCGATACATATAACCATTTTATATTTTGTTTAAAGATAGTGTAAAAGTTGAATGAAATATAAAAATATGTTTAATATATCTAAAAAAATATAGTAATACAAAACAGCTAAAAGTTGATTTAGAATGATTAAAACTCTACGTATGCTTATTAATGTTACATAAAGAATGCTGAATAAATTTTCATGCTGTTTTAGTCTACGACCAGTGTATGCATTTAGTTTCATTATTTATTTGCCTATATAATATCGCCTATATACGTATATTGATACACATATGTTTGTCTTCTATTGGGACAGGCAGAAACAATGGAACGCCTAATGCTCCAATTCAAACAAACCTCTTTCGTTTCCTCCACATTTATCAATCTATTCATTCGAGCTCGTCGGTTGCGAGTACTTTTGGACCTTTTTCAAAATGTCACCTATTTGGTTGACATACGTCCGACGAGGGTGGCCCCTACCGACGTCTCACTCATTATACATCACAACATATAAATATATAAGATAAAAACATACTACCCCAATAATAATCAAATACAATGGAATACCACCGACTACTAATCATGTGAGGGTGGCGCCCTCTGGGTGGGCGTTGAAACCGCACAACAATGGAGTAAATACTTACATTGCAGCGATGTCCTGAATTCCGGCATTTTTAGCAACACAAATTTCTACCAAATATATAACTTGTGCAGTTGTAGGTATAATGTAAACGAGTATACCAACAATTATTCGCATTACCAAATAAAACCAAAATTTGAGAGATCGACGCGATTGTGGTTTGTAGAGCCAAATATCAAAGAACTTTAACGTAGCGACATGGAGAGATATATATTGGTACAGATAAGCTCCTGAATCGGATTTCATTTTGAAAGAACTGAAACAATTGAGGATTTTATGATTTCAGTCTATATTTAAATGGCGTTTCAAATGAAGTAAGTAGACTGTAAATTAAATTATTCACGCGAACAATTAAGAAAGAAATTAAGCTTAATCGAGTATAGTTAATTAGATTTTTTACAGAAATGAAAGGATCTGTACAATAAATTGTGAAAAATACTTACTCTTTCAGTAGAAATATTATAAATGTATGTAAATAGTAAGTCTGTCTGTTTGTTTGATACTCTTGGCGCCTTACAATATTAATATAACCAGTCGGGGGGAAAGGGATTGTTAGTAATGGAGACTGAGAATCCCATTGCTAGCAATTAATCCAACCAGGTCGACCTCCTGGCGGTTCTCCCTGGAAACTATAATGGTTAATTCCTGATGAATTCATCATGATGGGCTAACTGGCCTGTTTTCATTCTCATCTATCACCCTTCACTGGTGCTCCATCAGCGTATTCCGTTAGCGCAGGCGGGGTTACCATACCATTTTCACCCATCATAAAAAAAAATATAACCAATCGTTAATCTTCATTTTAAATGTAATATAGACGAAGTAAATAAGTATAATAGAAGGACAAAAAATATACGAGGGTCAAACTGAAAGTCCTTAGAAAATCAAAAACTTATTAAATTTGCAAGTTTTTACCTTTTCAAAATAGTATCCATTCACGTCAATACATCGTCGCTGCATCCGATAGAACCACTGAGAAAAGCACTTTGCCCACTTGTCCTTAGAGATCTCTTCGACGGCCTTCTGAAACGTAGCCACAGCTTCCTCGGCGTCCATAAAACGTTTTCCTCGAAGTTTTTCTTTTATTTTTCGGTCGGGACTATAAGGCAAATGACCCAGTAGTTCTACGTCTGAAGTCACCAAATAATTGATCGTTTGCCTGGCGGTGTGCGACGAAGCATTGTCGTGGTGAAGGAGGATTCTACTGCGAGGTCGTTGCTCACGCATTTTTTCCAAAACACTTGGCAAACAATTGTTACTGTACCACTCTGCAGTAACTGCATTTCGATCTTCTAAAACAATTGTCGCGTAATGACCTGTCGTTCTAAAGAAGGAGGCCACCATCTTTTTTTCACGCTTCGACCTCTCTTCACTTTAGTTGGCAACTCCTCGGAAGGAAACACCCACTGAGCTGACTGTCTTTTAGTTTCGGGATAGTTTAGTTAGGAACAGTAAATCCAGCTTTCGTCTTCCGTAACTATGTCAAACACAGAATTTGAGTCACCTCTGTAAAACTACGAATGAACGTTATGCATGAAGCGTTTCGGTCAACACTACGGAGTTTCTGAGCCTCGGTTAAATTATGAGGTATCCACCGGGTATAAAGCTTCCTGACCGCTAAATGTTCATGGAGGATTTTGTACCCTTGACTCATACCAATCCCTAAGCTTGCCCGGATCTGCTGATTGGTCACTCTTTTGTCAGTCACTATCATACGCCGCACAACACTGATGTTATTTTCAGTCATCGCCGTAGAAGGCCGTCCCTCACGCACATCATCGGTGAGATTAGTGCGACCACGTTTAAACTCGTTAAACCAGTTGTAAACAATGGCACGAGACGGGGCTTTATCATAAAAGACCAATCGTAGTCTATCATAACTTTCTTGTTGACTTAGATGACATCGAAAGTGATAAAAAATCCTCGCACGAAAATTTTGTCGTGTTAAGTTCATGATAACGTTACACAGACTACTTTCAATTTGCCGCCAAACAGTAAAACAAATGACAAACGAATAAATTATATACTCAGTATTATTCGTAAAGAGTTCCATTTTCAAAATTTTAACAATTTTTTTATTATATTGCTTTTAAGTAGCCAGTTCTAAAAATTTCCAGTGTAGCCCTCGTACTAATAAATGTAAGCGAATAAATACTATGATCTAAAATGGAATTCAAGATTAAAAATTTAAATCAAACTACCATAAAAAAATCCATTATTTTATGTAATTTATTCAAAAATGGCGAAAATTCGTGCTAGAACTTTTTAAGAGATTTGATTAATCCGTGATATGATTTAAAAATAATTAATACTTTTTTAAAGTAAAAATTGTAATTTAAATAATTATGATACTGGTAATAAGATATAATACGTAGTAATAAGTACTTTAAACATTTTGCATATTTTTTCTTTGTTCCCGCAAGTCGCCTATTTTGTTAATTTGGATTTTGATGAACGTTTATAATGATAATGTTCATGAACGTTCAAGAGGTAGAATAATTTTATTATACAATACAATTCTAAAACTATATGAAAACTTGACCATCTTACAGACTTGAAAAACGACCAATTTATAATAAATTTAACATATTTTGGTTCGTATTGTCTAACGTTAGAAAATAAATTTATATATTTGCTCTTACTAATATTAGAAATATGAAAGTGAGTTTGGTTATTTGTTTACTAAAATGTAATGGAAACCCAAAAGGTTACCACAATTAATTAATTAAATAAGAATTCATAGCTATTAATAACATTTTCGTTATTGTTGTATCGTAGCGAAAATATATTATGTTCAAATATAGAGTATTATTGATGAGAGTAATCAATTCCAGAAGATTTAAAATTCAAATCAATTACAATTAATCTATTAAATTATTATTGTAACAGTTTAAAATAGATATATGCATCAAATGGGCATAATACAAACACAAAAACAATCTTAGAATACTTACATAATCGCAGCCAAAGTATAAATTCTATAAAGTTTAAAAAAATTCTAGTCTTTGACAATGACATTTTCTTGTTTACATTTTTTTAACTTCATTTCAGATTATAACTCGATATTTTTATTAATATTATTTTAATAAAGATTATTGCAACTATTTACGTATATAACTACCTATTTTAATTAAATACTCTAATTTTTAATGTTGAAATTTTAAAGTTATACAAAGTAAGAATGAATATGCCCCCGCTCATTTTATCCCCACGTTGTCGTAAAAGGCTACTAAAGGAATAAAGCACAATACATCGCGTACAGTGTAACAGAAGGGAAATTCAAAATAAAACACTATAGCGCGCTGTCTGTCCAGCGTGGTAATAGTAGACTAATGCTCACTTCTTTTATGATCCGTGTCCAACTGTAGTGTGTTAATGGGTTGATATGAAGATGGATGATACAAACTTTTTAATATCAATAAGATTGAAATGACCTTAAACTACTACTAAAGCGTAACGCTTCCTGAAAAAGACTTTGTTATAGCAATTTCATAAACGACGCTTCATGGTTGTAGGTTCGAACTACCCTACAAAATAAAAACGTTTGTATTCATAAGTAAGTCTGTCTGTTTATGATTAATGAAAATACTGTTTCTATTTATCAGAACTTTTTTTGATGTATAATGTGTATTATAATATAAAAAAAGACTCAAGTATTTTTAACAGTCTTATAATATGCCAAGCTCTGCTTACTTTAAAACTAGATATGACAATTATACAACACTTTGTATAATTGCCCTGTGGTATTTATTAGTATTATAATAGAGAACTAGATAGATACTAGGTTTATTTGAATTCATAACATATTGAATATCAATATGCTCTCTTATCTTGTTTGAAAATGATTTCTTATCCTACTTACGTAGTTTTATAGAGGACCCTAAAACGTCTTTGTAATTTTCATTAGCTTAAATTAACATAATTAATGGTAATAAAGTAATTGTGTATTTAATTCTTTCTCATTATAATAAAAACTACTATTAATTTTATTCGGTATAGTGAAATTTCAATACTAATAAAAAAGAATATCATGTCGGTGTTAAGTGTTCACTGCTATAATTACTGTTATAATTATATATATCTATATTTTATTTTACCAATCGTAAACTATAACAACCAAAATATTTTTGTCTAACATAAAACATAAATATCTGCCCACTTTTATGGTACACTTCGGAGTTCAGATTCTATGAGAGCAAGTCGTTTTATATAAACTTTTTGGCTCAGCGTTTAATAGAATCTAGAATAGCTAACTGGTGTTTAATAGAAGCATTTTAAAGGTGACAGCAGTATTTCATAAATATTCGAACTTATCTTTTATAACATTATTGGTTTATTGCGAGTCGCTATCGTGGTTTAATTAAAAAATTTCACATGAAAAGTTAAGAAGAAGAATGGCAACAATTTTTCGACTTTTCGGGAGCACATGATCTCGACACAGGGACAACTATTCGAAAACTTTACATTATTAATTTCGAGAGCATCGAAAGCTGTTGTTTAAATACATAAATAGATGACCAATCAGCTTAAGAAATTGAAATTATTAGGATTCCATTTCTACTATTTGCCTTCAACACTCTTTAAAATTGCTTCACCAATTTGGCTAATCCTTCTTTTGTTGTATTTGTAATTTTTAGAACAAAGTATATATATATATATATATATATATATATATATAATGTTGAAAAATCGTACGAAAAAGTGGACAATTTGGAATAAAAATCTCCATATAAAAAGTAAGTGGAAAGATTTGATCTCATTTACTTCATTAGTACACTCGTATGAATTCGAGGCAGACAGCTAGTTAATAATAACATTGCAATAAAATCGGACAATATGTAATATTAACTTTTATCCTTTATTTCTTCCGCGTGATATATTCATTACCCGAGAATAAAAGTGGACTATGTCCTTCTTCATTTCATATATGTGTACCTGTACCAAAATTCATAGGCGCGTTAAGGAAACAAACGAACTTACTTTCTCATTTAATATATTAATAAAGATTTTCATATTAGTTTAAATGTTTTTTGAAAAATGTAATGGTAGTATGATAGTTTTAAAAACGTTTTGACTATTGGAATCGATATAATTATATAAGATACTTTTTAACGCAGAACAATATTTTATGCTTTTCTATAGAAAAATTTAAAATCTGGTTACAATCTGGTTAAAAGTACACCTATTTATTCAAGTGTTAAATATATAATCCTAATAATAGTAGGCTGAGTAGAGACCATTTTAGC